CCCAGAGGCGTAGCAGGTTATTTTACACAACAATTTTGAATATCACTATACACCCCAAGAGTAAAGTGAAGATCGAAATGGAAACTTTATTGATTAGCGATTTCGGACTATTATCAAACTGTGCAAGCAATTACATGGGCTGTGAATAATAATGGACCAGACAATTGACGACCCCGAATTACTACAGCACGTTTAAACAAGAGCGATACGACCGTTTTCGAAAATACTAGTAATACCTTATGGGGGCGAGTGGAACTCTCAGTTCTTGATTCCAATAACTTGGATAGTTTCAATTAAAAAAACAATAAACAACCAAAGGCTTGGATTTTTTTCTGGGGGGTTTCAGATGTCTAAAATTTCAAACTCAAAGATCTCTGCGCAAAATATAAATCGGACCATTCTCCTGTTTCCAGTAGAAATTATGATTATCAAAATATACGACGGGAAAGGATATTGTAAATTTTACATTCGCCCTTAAAGGATGCCTGCATTTTTGTTAAAATGGATTAAAGAAGAAATCTATAGCCGGTTTAAGACCCAATATGCCGCACACCTCCATACAATGTAGAAAGAAATCATAAACTATCAAACTAGTGCAGATACAATCAGCAATTAATTGACCAACTATTCTGGGGAAACCTCTGTTGCCAATGCTTAGGGCTAAAAATAATGCTACTTTTGCCTCAAGCGAAAAAAAGAAAGTCGACAGAGAAGAAACGATTTTCCAACACAGACCGTCACTAGTTTTCAGCGTGTTTTGGAAAACTTTTCCACACACATGGAATAAGTTTGTTCTTGGCGATGTCGCGAGGGCCATGCACTGCCGGCCGGGTGCCAAGCAGCCCATATTACGAGCGCTGAATAAAAAACAAATCTTGCCCACTTTTTAAGGCGCAGGATCGCAAAGTCCACACTTAATAGACGATAATAATAATTGTATTGATTTACTGATTTTTAATTGACGATCATTGTTGATTTCGACGCGATCATCAATAAATCTCGGACCCGGATGTATAGCAGGATTT